TGCTTCCGAACCGCCTCCCCATCCCCCTGCCACTCAGTCCGGTTCTTCAACTTTGCCTTAGATGTTCAGGACTCCTAGATTGTCAGATATAATTGATTCACTTGTTTTTTGGGGTCTTTGTTGTAAGAGGGTCCACCAGAAGCATCTGACTACTCCGCCATCTTGGCCCCACCTCTGTTTTTTTTTTTCTTTTTGTTGCTTATGCTTTGGTATTGCCTAATCCAAAATCATAAAGATTTACTACTATGTTGTCTTCTAAGAATTTTATAGTTGTAGGTCTTAAATTTAGGCCTTTGATCCTTTCCGAGTTGATTTTTTTATATGGTGTGAGGTAAGGGTCAAAATTCATTCTTTTGCATGTGGTTATCCAGTAGTCCCAGCACCATTTATTGAAAACACTATTCTTCCTCTGTTGAATTGTCATGGCCCCCTTTTGACTTATTTCTATCAACTCCAAGCTGTTTAAGGAGCCCTGGTGGCACAGTGGTTAAAAGCTCCTTGGAAACCCTATGAGGCAGTTCTACTCTGTCCTATAGGGTCACTATATGTCAAAATCAACTTGACAGCAATGGGTTTGTTTTTTTCATTTTTTTTTTTGGTGGCACAGTGGTTAAGCGCTTGGCTGCTAACCAAAAGGTTGACAGTTCAAATTTACCAGCCACTCTGGGAGAAAGATGTGACAGCCTGCTTCCGTAGGAAAGATTTGCAGCCTTGGAAATCCTCTGGGGGAAGTTCTGCTTTGTCCTGTAGGTCACTGTGAGTCAGAATCAACTCAGCGGGGTTCCAAGCTGTTTCCCTGTGTCCTATCCCTTTGTTCATGCAGTTCCTTAGGTCTGGAATGCTTCCCCTTTGTCTGGCTAATTCTTCCTTGGCCCTTAAGGTTCAGTAGGAACCTCACCTTCTTCAGTATGTCTTTCCTGGTCATTATACCACCACCATCACACATACTTTTTCCCCAAGATTGGGGTAGGAACTTCTTAGGCAGTGACCCAGTGAATAATTATTCATTGAATTTCTACTTGTTGTTGTTAGTTACCATTGAGTCGGTTCCGACTCACAGCAACCTCATGTGTGCAGAATAGAACTGCCCCATAGGGTTTTCAAGGCTGTGACCTTTCATAAATAGATCACCAGAACTTTCTTCCAAAACACCTCTGGATGGGTTTGAACTGCCAACCTTTTGACTAGTAGTCAAGTGCTTAACTGTTTGCACCACCCTGGGAACCTGAGTTCCTACTGTGTACTCTGAAGTATAACTGAGTAAGACCTAACACCCACCCTCAGGAAGTTTACTGTTAGTGGGAAATTGGGCAGTAACAGTATAGTGTGGTAAGTTTTATAGTAGGGATAAGTGTAGGATGCTGTGAGAATGCAGAGGAGAGGAATTTAACCTAGTCTTCCAGATTTCCCATAGGAGTTGACATCTGAACTGAAACCTAAAAACCATTAGGTGATAGCTAGGTGAAAAGAGGGGAAGGACAATAGGAAGAGGAACAGCACATACAGAGAGAGGCTCAGGAACTACAGAGTAAGGCACAAGTAGTTCAGTATGTCTGGATCACAAACTCTAAGAATGTGAAAGATGAAGCTTGGAGAGGTGAGCAGGGGTCTAATTGCAAAGGGCCTTTTACAGCCAGGGAAGGAGCTTGGCCATAACCACTGAAGGACAGAAACACATACAGAACAAATTTGGGTGAGAAGCTTAAATCTCTCAAGGCTGTTGTAAAGTGAATTAGCCCTTTGGGTTTCTTACGCCTTATTCTACTCTTCTAATTGTCTAAAAATTCCTTTTTTACACCTACTAAAATCTTAATTTTATAGAATTATGGACAGCATGCTGATTAAAGAATTCTTTTTTTTTTTTAATATGGCGTCTTAGGTTAAAGTTTACACAGCAAATTAGGTTCCCCTTTAACAATTTGTATACAGATTGTTTCGTGCCATTGGTTACAATTTTTACAGTGTGTCACCATTCTCATTATTTCCATTCTGTTTGTTCTGTTTCCATTGATCTAGCTTCCTTTCCCCTGGTAGCCTTCTCATTTTTACTTTTCGGTAGCTGTTGACTGTTTAGTCTCACTTAGTTAATTGTTTAAGGGAGCTCATTACTCAGGGTGATATTGTTTATTTTATAAGCCAATCTATTATTTGGCTGAAAGGTGACCTGCAGAAACAGCTTCAATTTCAAGTTCAAAGGGTATCCTAGGGCAGTAGTCTCGGGGGTTCCTCTAGTCTCTGTCAGTCCAGTAGGTCCAGCCTTTTTTAGGAATTTGAGTCTTGTTCTACATTTTTCTCCCATTCTATCCAGGACGTTTTATTGTGTCCCTTGTCAGAACGGTCAGTAGTGGTAGCCAGGCACCATCTAGTTCTTCTGGTCTCAGGTTAGAAGAGGCTGTGGTTCGTGTGGGCTACTAGTCCTGTGGACTAATTTCTTTGAGCCTTTGATTTCCTTCATTCTCTTTTGCTCCTTAAGAGTAGAGACCAATAGTTGTATCTTACCTGGCCACTCGCAAGCTTTTATGACCCCAGACACTACTCACCAAACTAGGATGTAGAACATTTATCTTTGTGAACTATGTTCTGCCAATTGACTAAGTTGTCTCATGAGACTATGGTCTCAAGCCTTTTGATCCAGTAAACTAATCCCACAAGTTGTTTGGATATGTCTAGGAAGCCTCTGTAACTGTGCCCCCTGTGTGATTTGTTATATATGTGGATGTGTATGCAGGACATACAGTGCACGCATACATATGCCTACAGATACATCTCTACACACTCATGCATTTACTCACAGATACCTTCCTATACACATATGCATCCATATCAACCTATGTAACCACACATTTTTTGGTGGTTTTTACTGTTCTGCAAAACTGTATATGTTACAGCATTTACCAAAATTGTTCCTTTCTCTTGTGTACTTCTTAATGTCTTTATTTACCTTGGTCACGTTGTACTGACTTCACCCATATTTGGAATTGCCTTTCCCATCACGAAAAGTAACAAGTGTACTACTATCTAGAAAGTGATTCCCCCTCCCTCTCCCTCTCATCCCTGGTAACCATCAAAGAACTTTGCTTTCTGTGTGTGTATCTATTCTTGACTTTTTATAATAGTGGGACCATATAATATTTGTCTTTTTGTGATTGACTTATTCAGCGTAATGTCTTCCAGATTCATCCATGTTATAAGATGTTTTGCGGACTTCTCATTATTCTTTATAGTTGTGTCGTATTCCATTTTATGTATGTACCACAATTTGTTTATCCATTCATCTGTTGATGGGCACTTAGGTTGTTTCCATCTTTTTGCTATTGTGAATAATGCTGCAGTGAACATAGGTGTGTCTATGTCTGTTCGTGTCACTGCTCTTATATCTCCGGGATATATACCTAAGAGTGGATCATAAGGTATTTCTATTTTTAGGTTTTTGAGGAAGCACCATACTGTTTTCCATAGTGGTTGTAACCATTTTATAATCCCACCAGCAGTGTATGAGTTCCAAACCCCCCACAACCTCGCCAGCATTTGTTGTTTTCTGTGTTTTTGATTGTTGCCATTTTTGCAGGGGTGAGATGGTATCTCATTGTAGTTTCGATTTGCATCTCTCTAATGACTGATGATCGAGACCATGTTTCCATGTGTTTGTTGGCTGCCTGATGTCCTCTTTGGTGAAGTGTCTGTTCATGTCCTTTGCTCGTTTTTTGATTGGATTGTCTTTTTGTTGCTGAGGTGTTGGAGTTTTCTACATATTTTAGAGATCAGACCCTTATCAGGCATGTTGTTGCCAAAGATTTTTCCCAGTCTGTAGGTTCTCTTTTTACTCTCTTGGTAAAGTCTTTTGATGAGCACGAGTATTTAATTTTTAGGAGGTTCCAGTTATCTAGTTAATCTTCTGTCATCCATGCATTTTAATTTTGTTTGATAGACTGTTTATGCCCAAAAATAGGTCCCCTAGTTGACCCTGTGTTATCTTCCAGGAACTTTATAATTTTATAATTTTAGCTTTAACATTTAGGACTTTGATCCATTTTGAGTTAGTTTTTTGCATGGTGTGAGATATGGATCCTGATTCATTTTTCTGCATATGGATATCCAGTTTTTCCAGCACCATTTATTAAAGAGATTGTTTCTTCCCCATTGAATGGACTTCGACCCTTTGTCACAGATCAGCTGCCCATAGATGGATGGATTTTCTTCTTGGTTCTCAATTCTGTTCTGTTGGTCTGTGTGTCTGTCATTGAACCAATACTAGGCTGTTCTGATTACCGTGGCTGTATAGTAAGTTTTGAGATTGATTAAAAAATTAAAAAATTCTTGATGATTAGTTAGCTGTTTACTTTTTGTTATGCCTTTCTAAAGATTACTAGCAATTGCATCATTACACTTAAAAGATTTAAACCTCTGTGCTTTATATTACATTTTTTCTCCAAGTGCCTGTGAGATTGAGAATTAAATTACACTCTGGTAATTGGGCTTTTTAGTGGTATTTGCAGCATATGGTTGTTCAAGAAAAATTGGTGTATTTATGTATACACAGATTTGAGGTTTTATTTAATCATTTTCTATTTTCCTAATACTTTATTAAGAAGCAAAAGATTGGTTGCAGCAGATCTGTACTGGCTGACATATGGCACTCAGCAAGTTTCTTAGTTTTCAATAATTCTAGCCTAAAGTGTACCTCCAGCCTTGCACTTAGTGCAGTATTGTACGTTTCAGTTTACTTGTCTCCTATTAGATGCTGAACTCTGGAACATTTTTTTTTCCTTTGATGGCCTGTTTCTGTTTTTTAAACTATCTCTGTATTCCTTGGGCCTAGCACATAGTAGGTGACAACATAGATGTGATTAATGAAACAGTGATCTTCAAAAAATGACACTTTCATCTGAAGCTCAATTTTATTCTGAGACACAAAATGATATCTCTGTAAAACTTAACTGAAAACATTAACATGATCTTTAAGCTTAGAAGTTAATTTAACTGTAGTGTTTTTCTTACAGGCATTTGTAAAGGATGTTCATGAAGATTCAATAACAGTTGCATTTGAAAACAAGTAAGTGTCTTGATAAGTATCTTTTAATGTTTAGGTTCTTTAATATTTTATGCTAATAGTCCTTTTTACTCTTCAGTTTTTTTTTTTTTTTTAATTAAAGTCCAGTTTGAGTGTTTTGCAGGAGTGGATCTTCATGATAATGACCAGGAAGTTCCTGAGCAACTGAACATTAAAGCAGTGGAATGACTGTTCCTGCTAATGACCTCAGAGACCCCTCTTGTGTAATCTAGATCCTTGTATCTCAGTCCTCTTACATGTGTCCTTAAACCAGATTCTTCTGTATTAACTGAGAGTTTAGATAGGAATATTTGTCATTTTTAAAGGGGATGAAAATGAAGGCATTTGCAGGTATTGGTGAAAATCGATGTAAGTTTTGCAACAGTAAATCTAAAAGCAGTTGTTGTTGAGTACATTTTATTAGAAATAATCATCGTTACCTGTTATCTTATTTTTTTATCAGTTTCATCTTTTTTAAATCAGTAGTAGCACTAGCTGATCTTTCCTGCTTTCTTCTGCTAGATGAGAAAATAAAAATATAAGCCTAGGAACATCAGCTATAGAAGGCATCAGTTGTATGGATGTTAACATTTCATTAGGGGAGACAAACCTCTTGACTAAATTTTTTTGAATGCTAATAAAGGCTGTTTTTATAGTAGCCATTCAAGATCCAAAGTAATATAAATTCTTTAGGTAAAGTATAGATGTGATCATGATCTTAGGATTTCACTGAACTCTGATGAATGTTTGACAGTTATAACATTTTGGATTTTATGCACCAAGAGAAATAATAGTATATTAAAAGCAGGTCACAAATCTATAGAGACAAAGTAGAAGTGATTGCTGAGGACTGGGGGAACGGGACAGTAGGGGGACAATGCTAAAGAATACTGGGTTTCTTTTTGAAGTGATGAAAATGTTCTAAAATTGACTGTGTTGATGGTTTTACATATCTGTAATACACTAAAAACCATTGAATTGTACATTTTAAATGGATGAATTATATAGTATGCAAATTATATCTCAATAAAGCTGTTTAAAAAATAGTTTGTGACCTAGACAGACTGAGTAATAAAAAAATTCTTGCTTCTAAGAAAATTTAAAATGCAGGCCTGTATTTTAGTGTCTAGAAAATAAATTTTGTAATTAGACTGTTAAGCAGTTTCTTTTAGCCACCAACAGGACAAAGTAGTGACACCTTTAGGGGGACAAAGATAAAAGAATTTAGAGTACCCAGCCCTACTACCAGTTTTAGACTAATAGTCTCGAACTAAAATACAAGTTTGAATAATAGAAGGCCTTTCTCTGAACACATAGAGTCAAATGTTCCAGAATGTGCCTCTTTGTAGTTTTGTAGAGTGTCCATGGTTATACACTAAACAACATTTACGCACCTAGGCATCACACCTCGAAAGAGGGAGTCATTGTTAACCTGGAGAGTAATTTTTTTTCTTGTAATTACACTCTATTCTTATCTGCTTATTCCCATCACTACATAAACACTGTGTTTCTCATAAAGGGAGGACTATCTTTATTTACCACTCTTTTAATGTCTCCTGTAGTCTTCATCTAAAGTATTAAGCAAACGCTGATTTCCTCTATACATTTAAGAATGTGTCTTGTTTATACACTGATTTATCAGATCAGTTTTCTTTTGTTTTCAGTCAGATTTCTACTTAAAATTATCTGATCTTTGAACTTCCTAATTCTCTCCTGTACCATATCTGCATAAAAGTTTGTCTTTAAGATATTTGTCATCCTGGGAATAGAAGATCAATTGTTTCTTCCTTGTGTTCATGGAGTACGTTTGTGATAAAGCACTCGGTTTGGTCCTGTCACCCGCAGTTGATGGGTTCCTACCAAAGTAGTCTCTTCCCTTTCTTTGTGTGTTTCTTTTTTGTTTGTTTTTCTGTGAAAAACAATGTTTCCTAGTAATACAACTTCAGACTCTATGTATCCTTTCTTCCCTTTCAACCATAAAGAAACTCCTATAACTCAAATACCAGATTATCTTAGATGCTTTGTTTTTACCTTCCATATTTCACATTTTTGAATAAAGAATTTGAATTTTTGTCTCTATACATTTAAGACATAAAATAATTCTTACCTCTTTGGAACCAAAAATATATTTTTCATTGTTATATGCTTTATAAATTAAATTTAGCAATGAATTTGTAACATGTTAAAAGCCACAAATTTTCAGTAAGTATACAAAGGCTTTTCTGAAGTAAAGATAACTTTTTAAAAGTTTTACAGTTTTCAATTGTGTACAATAATGCAGAGGAAGGGTTCAGTCTAATTTAGGCCCTATCCGGATTTCCACAATTCTGAGTTATTACCTGCCCTCTTATATAACGGTTCTTAAAGACAAAACAAACAAACAAAAAACTTAACAGTGTATTCAGTAAGATTTTACTAAGAAAGCCCGTTAGCAGAACATTGACATACATAGGACAGGTATCGATATTTGCTAATGAAACACCCCAAAAAGAACCCAGAAGTGACTGCTCCAGCAGTTGAACCTCTCCGGTGTTTTTGCAGTTTGTTTTTTAGTATTTTATGTCTTTGCTACATAAAAGAATAATTTGGTCTTTTTCAAAATTCTTCCATATCATTTTTTAAAAAAAAAAGCAAAAGGCAACTTACTGAACTCCTGTAGACTGTCTCCACCGGGTTTCTGTGGTTTATGAAACCCCACCAGCCCAGGGCATGCTGGTACGTCGCACTGATCGGCAGCCAGCCGCCTGTGGCAAGAATTGACCACCTCGTGGGATCTAAAATTTAAAGGGGCAAAAGTGAGTTGCAAATTGCTAATGTGCTGACTTCCCGGTTTTGCTTGGGAATTCAAGGGCATTTAGGACCCGTTTCTGTGGTCATTGCAATGTGGTTAAAATTCCTTTGCAAGTAGAAGTATGTTGATGGTGTTACTAACACTTACTGATACTAACATACTTAGTTTAAACATCAAAGGAAATTTTCTTTCTTGGCCTTACAAATTAGAACACTCCTAGGATTAGCTCTCTGAGGTTGAAATTTCTGAAAGACACTTTCTTGAAAATTGTAAGGTTGATTTATTGTGTTGAGAGAGATATTCTAAATGGAACTACAAGGCTGTTACGCTGCATGTAGATTTTGTTGAAATGTCTTTATATTGCCATTATACCCTACTCAGCAGAAAACTTGTTTTTTTCTTTTTGGCAGCTTAAACAACAAGTGTTTATTATATCACAGGTTCTTTGGGTCAGAAATTGGAATTGGCTTAGCTGGGTGGTTCTGGTACAGGGTTTCTCTCATGAGGGTGTAGACAAGATGCCAGCTGGGGCTGCTGTCATCTGAAAGCTTGACTGGGGCTCTTCCAAGGTAGCTCATTCACATGGCTTTTGGCAGGAGGCCTCAGTTCCTTTCCACATAGGACTCTCCATAGGACTGCTTGGGTGTCCAAATGACATAGCAGGTAGCTTCTCCCAGAGCAAGATAGCAGCTGGCTTCTCCCAGAGCAGGCTATCCAACAGCAAGGAGGAAGCTGCAGTATCTTTTATGATCTAATCTCAGAAGTTACATACCATCACTTCCACCATATGCTATTCGTTAAAAGCGAGTCCTGAAGACCAACCCACGCTCAACAGGAAGGGAATTAAGCTCCACCTGTTGAAGGGAAGAGTACCAAAGAATTGAGAACCTATTTTAAAACCACTGCATAATTGTACTGTTGAGCATTTATTTTTCTTTTCCTAAATATGAGTTGGGATCAACTCGATGGCAATGGGATAGTTAAATTTTATTTTGTTGTTGTTGTTGAGAATATACACAGAAAAACATACACCAATTCAACAGTTTCTACATTTACAATTTGCTGACATTGATTACATTCTTTTGAGTTGTGCAGCCGTTCTCACCCTCCTTTTCTGAGTTGTTCCTCATTAACATAAACTCAGTGCTCCCTAAGGTTCTATCTGATCTTTTGAGTTCCTGATGTCAGTTTGATCCCATATATATAGTTTTTTTTTTAATTTTTTCTGTTGTGCATTAGGTGAAAGTTTACAGAGCAAATTAGATTTCCATCTGTTTGTACATAAAAATGTTTCACAGCCTTGGTTTTATTCCCTACAGTGTGTCAGCACGTTCCCAGTTTCTGCCCTGGGTTCCCCATTACCTTTTGTCCTGATTTTCCACTCTTCCTGCCTTCTCATCTTTGCTTTTGGGCAAATATTCCCCTTTTGATCTCATATAATTGATTGTTCTAAGGAGTACCTTCCTCTTGGGTGTTATTATGTGCTTGTCTGTTGTTTGGGTGGAAGATGGTCTCCAGGAATGGCTTCAGTTCCAGGTCAGAAGGGTGTTTTAGGGCCACCATACTTGCTGGGGGTTCCTCCAGTCTCTGTCAGACCAGTAAGTCTGGTCTTTCTGTGAATTTGATTTTTTATTCTACATCTTTTTCTTGCTTTGTCCAGGATCATCTGTTGTGATCCCAGTCGGAGTGGTGGGTAATGGTAGCCATGCACCGTCTAGTTCTTCTGGTCTCGGGGTTGTGTAGGCTGTGGTTCATGTGGTTCATTAGTCCTTTGAACTGATTGCTCCCTTGAGTCTTTGGTTTTCTTCACGCTTCTTTGCTGCAGACGGTAAGAGACCTAACAGTTGTATTTTAGATGGCCACTTGAAAACTTTTACGACCCCAGATGCTACTCATCAAAGTAGCATGCAGAATATTGTCTTTATAAATATTTTGTGTCATTTGACGTAGATGTCCCCCGAGTCTATGGTCCTTTGCCTTCGAGCCTAGGAACTTCATTCCAACTGGTGTTTGGTTATGTCTGAGAGGTTTCCCTGACTGTGCCCCTTCTGTGCTCCATTGTCTATATTAATATATGAGGAGCACCTACAGTCATCATGTATGTAGAAACATCCACCACCAAACCTCTATCTGCCGGTGGGCGTGCACCCTTACACCGTCCTACACCTCTTGGCATATCTACCTATGTATCTATTCATAAATTATTGTTTATTAATACTATTGTTGCATGACTGTCTATGCTATAGTAGTTACCATAGTTGCCCCTTATTCTTGCAAGTTCCTCTCAGTGTCCTCTGTTGCCTTGGTCATGTCATGCTGACTTCTCCCGTGCTATGTATTGCGTTTGCCTTCACCAATATTAACATGTGTCTTCTATCTATTTGGTAATTTTCCCTTCCTCTCCCAAAAAACTTACCATTTAAAGCATTTGCTTCTTTAAACTAGAAAAACAGAGGATCACACTTAACCAAAAGTTCATAGAAGTGTGATCATTGTTTCAGTTAAACATGAAAGCTTGTTAAATAATCGTATGTTTGCTTATTTGCAGCTGGCAGCCTGAGAGGCAGATTCCCTTCCATGATGTGAGATTCCCACCACCTGTAGGTTATAATAAAGATATAAATGAAAGTGATGAAGTTGAGGTAAGTTTCTCCTGCTTTAACCTTATTAAGCAGTGAAGGAGTAGGGGCTGTTTCATTTGCTTGTGCCTTTTTTATCCTTGTCTTTAACACTGTTTAAACTGCCTTGAGAATTATAGCTGAGATGGGCATGTGCTGTTGCCTAAGCAATCTTAATAATGATTTGAAACAATATATGATGCTTAAATTTGGTTATTTGAGCAGCACTTGGGGCGCATTTTTGAACCTTAGTGCTGATTTCTTCTGCCCACGGGTACTTCTTTTCCCCCTTCCCTCAGTCTCTGAGTCTTTGTTTGAATAATATATTGTTAGTTTACAGGTGTGTCCCCATTTTAAGCAAAATGGATTAGGAAAGTCAGTTTTACTAAGGACAAAAAAATCATGCTTTATAATACAGCAGTATCCTAGAATTTCTTTAAACAGCAGTAAATGCTCCTCATATATTTTTAAAAACCCATTTTACAAATTTTACTTTATACATAGATAATTCCTCTTTTTCATGGGGCATACTGTGCCATTGATTTCTTTGACCAAAGGATGCTATGAGATCTAACATTAACCAAAACATCGTGTTTGTGATTTCTCTATCCGTTAAAATTTGTTTTCATACTTCTCAGTTTGTATAGTATCTTCCCTCTCCCTTCTTGCTCCCCTTTCCCACACTCCTTTAAGCTTCTTTTTTCTCCGCAATATTTAGCATAATGCCTTATTAGTAGTTGCTACTTCATGAATAATTGTGATATGAAGGGAGCAGCTAAGTAGACATTTGTACAGGTAAGGTGAAAGTGGTACTGGGTCCTTGTTTTCTGTACTAGGTACAGAAGGTACAGCAAAACAGGACAGAGTCCTTGCCTTCAGTGAGATCGCATTCTAGTGAGGATAGCTAATATCATGACAGATGTGAGTTCTGTGAAGAAAAAAAAGTAAGAATGGAAGGTGATGTAGAAAGTGGTTAGGGCAGCTGCCTGGATTTCCAGTCCTGTGTTCTTTTCTCAATAATGTTAAACTGTAAATGGAATAAAGTACCTACTAGGTGTAAGGAACTAGGATTTGTTTTGCAAGGGATCCCAGTAGGGAACAAACACTGACTATTCTTGAGGACCTTTAATTGTCCACTTGCCTCTATTCTCCAGCAGACTACACATTTCCTGAAGGCAAGAACCAGGTTTCTTGGTCTGTCTGTAACAGGGGTGCTCATAATTGTGTTTTTTTTTTAAAGAAACCTGTTGCCATCAAGTCAATTCTGACTCATAGCGACCCTGTAGGACAGATTAGAACTGCCCCATAGGGTTGGTTTCCAAGGAGCGCCTGGTGGATTCAAACTGCCGACCTTTTGGTTAGCAGCCAAGTTCTCAATCACTGCATTACCAGGGCTCCACAGTTGTGTTTACTGGATGGATAAAGGGGACCTTTTTTTTTTTTAAGTAAGTCACATGACAGGTGGGGGGCCAATGAGAGACTGTTGCTAGGATGACCTGTATTACATAACAGTTAACTAAGATTATTCTTCTGGTATGCACAGAGTTGAAGGTGAGTGATGGAGGCAAGCAGGAAAAGTAGGTTAAATGTAGTTGTATTTAGTCACTCTATTATATAACCATTAACTTAGGTCGTAAAAGGGAGACAAGAGTTGGAACCTAAGTGAACACATGCCTCCTGAAGGCAAGGACCAGGTTTTTTGGTTTGTCTATATCAGGAATGCTCATAATAGTGTTTGGTGGATGGATAAATGGGACTTTTTTTTTTTTAACTGAGCCACATGACAGGTGGGGACCAATGAGAGGCTGTTGCTAGGATGACCTGTATTATGTAACAATTGACTAAGGTTATTTTTCTGGTATGCACAGAGTTGAAGGTGACTGATGGAGGTAAGCAGGAAAAGTAGGTTAAATTTAGTTGTATTTAGTCACTGTATCATATAACCATCAGGTTGTAAAAGGAACACAAGAGTTGGAGCCTGGCTCACTTTTCAGCCTTAGGCTTTGTGCCTCTCCTCTCCTCCCCATCTCCCTTGTCCTCTCCACTTCTCCTTTCCACTTCTGAGTATTTCTGTCTCACTCTACGTATACTGTATTATCTCTTTCTATTAACCTAGATTTGCTAGTGTCTTCACAAAAGGTTCCATGCTGTACCTTATAAGTGAAATTTGGAGTGGTCAGCAGAGAGATTGGTTAGAAGAATGGATCCCCAGTGTGATGGAGAACAGGAAGGTGGTATCCAGAAGATTGCCACCCATAGAGTTGTCCATTTTAGTGGAGAGGAGACTGGAGTGACCAAGGATTTAGTCCCCCAGGAGACATGGATGCCAGGGTGGGCACTGGTCTTACCCATTTAGTGACCAAGCAGCCAGGCAATAGTAGGCCAGGGTCAGTAACTTTCAGTCAGTTATTGGCTTATTAGAGTAAAACAAAAATAAGTTTGTATATTTTAGATACATTTTCGTAGCTCACAGAGTACCCAAGGGAAGTATGCTCATGTTTATGAGTCATCAGCTTTTATTGAACATTCATGTTCAGAGTACTAGTTAATACTGAACTAGTCCAGAGAAATAGGAAAGCATCTATGTAGGGAGCTCACAGGCAGTCTCGCCGTTTCTGGTTATGTATCTGTGTCTAGCTGTAAGGAGTAAAATCTAGTTGCAGGTAAGATGTGTATGCCTAGGGACATTTTAATGAATTTTCCTCAGTGTCTGACAATGTATAGATTTTAAAGTGATACTAACCATGAAATATTCTATGTTGTGATTTTTGTGTAGGTTTATTCCAGAGCAAATGAAAAAGAGCCTTGCTGTTGGTGGTTAGCTAAAGTGAGGATGATAAAGGGTGAGGTAGGAAAATGCTTATTTAAAATTTTTTTCTTATATTATTTCCCTTTTCTAAACCCAGGTACTACAGTTCAGTGTGGATTTCCATTTTACAGTAATATCTAATTTGAGTCATTTTATTAGAATGTTTTCTTTATGTGTTCAGTATGTTCATATGTTTCAGTTAAGTTGATTAAATAAACCTTTTTTTTTCCTCCAAGGAATTTATTTACAAATAACTGAGTAGCATGTTGCTCTGATTTAAAAATGATTAGGGATGACTTTTATTTATTTCTGCCAGTTTTACGTGATAGAGTATGCAGCATGTGATGCTACTTACAATGAAATTGTCACGATTGAACGTTTGCGATCGGTGAATCCCAACAAACCTGCCACAAAGGATACTTTTCATAAGATCAAACTGGACGTGCCAGAAGACTTAAGACAAATGTAAGTTGGTATGTAAGAAATGCTGAGAACTTACAGGTGATGTGCAGTTTAAACTACAATAGAAATCCTGCTTTTTGGTTCTAGAGAGTGTGTCTATGTATAAATGTGTATGTCTTCTAATTCATGTACATTTCCTTCTCTCTTTTAAATTGGTCAGCAGTTTTTCTTTATAAAAGAAAAAACAAAACAAAATCAGGTACCCTGTAGCTCTCCGTAACAGTTTTCAACAGTTTACTCAAGAAAACTAATGACTTATCGTATGTAAATGAAACCAGGAAGCCTGCAGAGGAGAGTGGTTTTTCTAAACATGTCACCTCTAGTAGTCTACGTCTACCAGTAATGCCATAACAGCCTAGCTGATTGAAAATTAAGAATTGGAATAACCAAGTTTGTTTCCTTCTTTTTCTACAATATCAAATGCTAGATTCGGCCGAGTATTTCAGAGATATACAATATACAGCAAAGGAACTCAGCTTCTAAAGGAAATGGCATATTTTGCATATTATCAAATTTAACATGAATCCATATGATTCGATTAAATGTAAATCTTTCTGCATGTATTTATGCTAGTAGTTGGTAATCATTTAGCTTAGCTTAACAGTGGCTATTCTTTTTATTTCTAGGTGTGCCAAAGAATCGGCACATAAGGACTTTAAAAAGGCAGTCGGCGCATTTTCTGTAACTTATGATCCAGAAAATTATCAGCTTGTCATTTTGGTGAGTGTTTTTGAGTTGTTTGTTTTGGTTTATTTCATTTTGGGCTTTTGCTTTGATAGTAACATTGTTAATTTAAATCACTTAGTCCATCAACGAAGTCACCTCCAAGCGAGCACATATGCTGATTGACATGCACTTTCGGAGTCTGCGCACTAAGTTGTCCCTGATACTGAGAAATGAAGAAGCCAGTAAGCAGCTGGAGGTATGTCACTTTCCCTAACGCTGCTGGTAGGCTGTCTAATCTGGAATGATAACTGTATGGTTATAGAACTCAGCTGTGGGTAGTCTGTTATTGATTTACTGTTTCTTAACAGTTCCTCTTATTCTACGTTTTGGAAGTTAAAATGTACAAAGCATAATCGTACTAAAGTTTTCATGTCGGATGTTTCAAAATTAAGCAGCAGTTTGTGTATCTTAAGGGACTTCTGGTCAATTCAGTTTTACTAGACGTTTGTCAAAGCTGCTAATAAAATGAGGCAATGCTTCTTCCATATAACATGTTATCATTAAAGTACTAGAGAGTATTTAAATACCTAATCATATTCCTCTCATTATGTATGTTTATCTCTGTTTAAAAGGGTGTAGAACTTCTTCATTCTAATTGGTTGTCACTCTTTAAAACTCCTGTCTTCAGATTCCTGCCAGAGGCTATTTCCCTAACTTACTATTTCATCTCTTAAGGTGCATTTTATCTACTTTTATTAATCCTCCAATAATTTCCATCACTATACATTTATTTTCATTGATAACTATCTAGTACTTCCATCCACTACCATAGAAATGAAATGGATTTTAGTTTAATTTGCCAGCTCAAGTATATTACTGTCAAACACAGAGTTCCTCTTCATTATTCATTTCATTAGAGGGAAAACACCATGTTGAAATAGTAAAGAATAAAAAGGAGTTTCAAACTGCATTTTAAGAGAGAAGGCAGTCAAGGCTATATTCTTGTAAAACCCTGTTAAACTTCTGTTGCCTTCCAGCTTGATGGGTGATTACTGAAGTGTTAGCAGGAGAGTAGAAATTCATATCTCCTTTTGCTGCTTTGTTTTCCTTATGGCCATGGAGGTCTGTTTAATTGGTTGTTGCTCTCATTCTCTCTTGATGTCCCTGTGTTCACAATTTTGTGGTTTCTTTGGTGATTCTCTCATAACTTATAGGCCAGAGCAGCCTCCTTACTTTCATTGTGAGTATTATGGAAATATGTGCTTCTCCTTAAACATCTAATTCTCCTTAGATGGTCTCTTATCATACCTTTGGCTTACCGTTTAATTATCAGTGAATTATCAATGAAAAGAATGAACCAGGTGAATGAACTGGGATTCGAAAAACATCTTGAAAAGTCCTAGGAACATTTGTATATTTTGTTAGTCTAATGTAGTAGAATGAATATTGTACTTTTAAAATTTGTTTATACTAGTTATATCATTCATTCAAATTATCAGGTGTGTTGAATAATGAGAAACAAGTATGCATGCCTCTCTTTCTTCACTACTAATATTAAAAAGATTCACATAAATAAGGAATTCCCATTTTTCAACATGAGCCACTAATATGTTTTGGTTTTCATTAATGGCATGGTAGATCTAAACATTAAATTTTGATACTACTTAAAGAGAGTGATTATCCACAAGTTTTGGGTGTCAGCGTAACTTAATTTTGTCATCACCGAGTACTTGAAAGAATTTGTCATACTTGTGGATCCAGATCACAAGGTCTTACAGACTCTGGTCTCATTTAGGTTTCAAATGCATATGTAAGATAAGTTTTAAATCTTTATTTAGCATTCCTTAATCAGTTGTTTTAAGTACTGTACCAACAATGTGTATGGTTCCTTTCCTTAGGTTTGGGGAAGTGGTGGGGGTAGGGGTGTCGTTTTAATGTCATTGCTTCAACAGAGGGATGTCTAGAACACAGTATCTAGTGACAAGTTATAAAAATGGCAGTTTTCAGAAAAAAATATACTCACGTTTTAATAAAAAATGAAGTGAATAAAATTTTCTATAAAGTTGATATTTTACAACTGTTTTACTTAAATAACATTGAGTCTGTCAGACCCAGTGAGCTGTTTTTTTTTTTTTTTTTTTTTTAATTTGGGAACATTTGATCTGCTTCTTAATTAATTACATTTTTGGTGTCGTTCGTTAACTAAGGCAGCCTTGCAAGTAGGTTTTTAAAAGTTACCTTGGAAAGTTGTCAACAAACCCTTTCCTATTAACAAAAATATATCAAATGGCATAGACCTTCATTAACCTAAAAACACTTGTGCTGTGGGAGGTATTTTCTAAAGCCTGTTAGTTTTCAACTGAAACTAACTTATAGGCCCCTGGTATACAGGGTAAGATAATTTACATGGCTGACCTAAATACAGTTGGCTTAATATTTGATAAAGCATATTAATCAGACCTGCATTTCTTTTCAGAGTTCAAGGCAACTTGCCTCAAGGTTTCATGAACAGTTTATCGTACGAGAAGATCTGATGGGTCTAGCTATTGGTACACATGGTGCTAATATTCAGCAAGCTAGAAAAGTACCTGGGGTCACTGCTATTGACCTAGATGAAGATACCTGCACATTTCATATTTACGGAGAGGTAAATAGTCTACTAAATGTTTTTTTTTAAATTAAAAATCAGTATTTCAGCTGGCTCATCTTCTGTCTTGAAACTTTTCCTGTTTATTAGGACCAGGATGCAGTAAAAAAGGCTAGAAGCTTTCTTGAATTTGCTGAAGATGTCATACAAGTTCCAAGGAACTTAGTAGGTGAGTAACAAATTGCTGTTGATACATACTACACAAACAAAGTTTAAGAAAACTTTATCTGTACAGATAGAATTCCATTTTCCTTCTCTGGAGGGGTCATTTCATTGAAGTTTAATCTTTGAAATATGGTCTTTTGCTACAGTGTACAGAAAATTTTTGCTACATGTAATGCTCATGGATTACATTTTCAGAAGGTATGCAAAAGAGATTACTTGTTCAAACCTACTAGTACCTGGAAGGATAAATTTTGCATGGCCTTCTAGCTGTATATTATATATATCTTAAAATTGAATGTGTTTTTCAAAATGAATGGCATTTTGAGGCTTCATAATTTGGAGTAAAATTGGTATTTGATCTCTCTAATGGAACTATAAGGAGCCCTGGTGGCACAAATGGTTAAGCGCTTGGCTGCTAACCAAAAGGTTGGCGGTTTGAACCCACCCAGCAGCTCTACTGGAGAAAGACCTGGTGATCTGCTTCTGTAAAGATGATGGCCAAGAAAACCCTATGGGGAAGTTCTACTCTGTCACATGGGGTTGCTATGAGTCGAAAACAACTTGATGGCACCTCACAACAACAGTGGAACTGTAAAATGATAGCATTCTGAAGTATCTCAGTTTAGAAGGTCTGAATGTAGGGTAACCCATTAAACCCCTTGCCGTCGAGTCGATCTGGACTCATAGTGACCCTATAGGACAGAGTGGAACTGCCTGTAGGATTTTCAAGGCTGTAATCTTTATAGAAGCAGACTGCTGACTCTTTCTCCAGTGGAGCGGCTGGTGGGTTCAAACTGCTGACCTTTCAGTTAGCAGCTGAGCGCTTAACCACTGTGCCACCAGGGCTCCTGCATGTAGGTTACTTAGTCTAATAAAAGCTGGAAGTAACTCTGAATGTCTCTGGGGTTTTCTGCAAAGCCAGTGGTAATTCTTTGACTCGAGTACTCTTGTTTCCTGGTCATCACCAACATGAGTACCAGCAAATACCTAGGGACCTTTCACCAGTGCTCCCAAATGCTGCAGTTATCTTTGGTAGAACATATCAAATCCAGGTACAGTTGTATCAGGAACACTATCTATGTTTTTAATTTATCAAGCAAATTGGGATATACCATCTCTACTTTTTTTTGTCTTTTAAAGGATACCGTGACTGATTATAAAAAGTAATGCATGCCTTATGGAAAAGTTTAAAGAAGAAAACAAGGAATACTTAGTTTCAATCCTACTTAGTCTTCCTTTTTTTTTTTTTTTGGTCAGGATAGAATTATAAACTTCTTCCTGTGCCATTAGAAACACAAGGAACAGTGTTTTTCCCAAAGAAAATTACTGTTTGAGGATAAAGTGAAAATGCTAGTGAAATAATGAAGATTTAGCTCAACTGTATACTGCATACAACTAGAACATGACCGTGTAATGTTACTGAGATAACTCGAACACCACTTGCATGGGTGGAAAATGTCTGTATAGCACAGAGTAGAGTGATTATCTCAAGACAGTGGGGTAATGAATGAATGATTGATTTTCTTATTTAAAAGTTTCTCAAACAATTGCATACATTAAAAAAGTTCTTTTAAATTATAGGAGTGCTTATAAAAATATAGCCAATAGACAGTTGTTGTTTTTTTTTAAGTACTAAATGTATAGTAACATATGTATCAGATTCATTAAGTTATTTTGGAGACAGCTTGATGGTAGGAGAAGGAGCTTGAGCATTGGCATTACATTTAGATTTCCATGCTGACTTCACTTCTTGGTAGCTTTGTGACCCTAGGCAAGTGACTTAGCCCCCCCGAGTCTTACTTTCCTCACCTGTAAAACAAATGTGATAATAGTATCTGCCTTGCAGAGTTATTGTCCTACTTAAACGGGAAGATACGTGTAAAGCACCTCTGACAGTTCTGGGCATAGTAGGGGTACTATAAATGGTAGTGCTCTCCCCTTCACCTTATTGAAAAACAGCGCCATCCAGTTCAGCAGAGCAGAGTTTGGAGTAAGCTGTCAGTTAGGATTTGGAAATAAGCTACGCTTGCTAACCAAAAGGTCAGCAGTTCGAATCCACCAGCCTCTCCTCTGTCCTGTAGGGTCGCTATGAGTCAAAATTGACTCGACAGCAACGGTTTTTTTGTTTGTTTGTTTGTTTGGTGTAATGTAGAATTTGGTATTAAAAGTAGATTCTACCTGTGGTCTTTCATGGAAAGAAGAGGATCCTAGAAGTGAGCTTTCTGTCAGAAAGCCTGTTGAAGTACGTACGGTCAGCCTGATTTTTGTTGTGTTTTACTTCTGGTTAGTAAAACAAAACAATTCTGTTTTCAAGATTGCCGACGGCAACACAGGGAATGTTGAAAGTTTTCAGAAAGCGTTTTTGTATAATTAGACTTGGCAACGCAAATCTTGAGGAAGATGTCATAATCAGTATTGCATGAGTTTTCTTTGAGCTTCATTGATCTATGATTTCTTCATTTTTCACAAACTCTCTTCTGTATGTATACTCATTTATCTTCCTTTTCTTAAAACTTGATTGTTTTTCACCCACTCTGACAATGAACTGGTTTAATTATTCAGTCAGCTATAGTTAGCAGTCAGTACTTAGCATAGTTAAGATACTGTTTTAATAGAAACGTGCCAATATCTCACTTTTCTTTTTGCTAATTCATTTAGACCTTTATTAAAATCAACATAATTCATGAAAATATAAGTGTTAGTGATTAAAAACAAACTGTGGGAAGGCTTCAATTATGCCCCCTCCCCTTCTTTCAAGAGTAGAAGAATGGAAATTATTGACAAAAGGACCTAGATCAGGAGTTCTGATTTAGTGGTGTCAGTTCTTTTCCCTGACCACCAACCAACCAAAATAGGTGTGTTGGGGTGAGTGAGGCTGCCAAACGCAGCAAGAGCACTGAGGCTGTGCTCTGCTTAGAAGAACAAGAAGTTCCTATTGTGAGAAGGCCTTTCCTTGGATTCTGATCTAGGACTGACTCAAAGCAAATTTTGGCCTCTAATTTTGCCCCTTGACTTCGCAGTTCCCCGACACTGCCTTAGATGAGATGGTGAGGCAAGCACATGACAGATGTGCCCAGTGTAAAGGTGCTTCAGATACCTTGGGAGAGAGCCCTGGGAATCAGATGTAGATTCTAGAATTAGTAGTTCGTGTATTTGTAATGCCTTGCTTTACACTAATGTGTAATGATGGACATGAAAACAGTCATTTCCCACTAAGTATATGGTTAAAATTCATTTTTAAAAGAGGGAAAGAATTGTGTGCCTATTTATTACTAGTATTTAAAGTCTTTGAAGTTTGTTATTGAATAGTACTTAATCTGAAACTGATTATAAACTTTTTTGGTGTGGTTTTGAGTTATCTTAAAGTATACTTTCCTAATCTTTCCACTTTTACTCTGTGACTAATCCCTTCACCTTTTTATATACTGATCTGATTTGTGAGTAATACACAGAAGTTACATTCTTTTAACACATTGGCTTGAAGAGTTTGCACTCCTTTTCGATGTATTCATAGTTGCTCGGCTGCTAACCAAAAAGGTCGGCAGTTTGAACCCACCAGCTGCTCCGCAGGAGGATGTGACAGTCTGCTTTCGCAAAGATTTACAAGCTAGAAAACCCTATGGGGCATTTCTACTTTGTCCTATAGGGTTGCTATGAGTCAGAATCGACTTGACGGCAGTGGGTTTGGTTTTCGATACAACTGCTTAAGTCGCTGTTTGAACTTAGAGTATTTTTTTTAAATATGCCATGCAGAATTTTAAAAATATTTATCATGGGCAAAAAAGCAGATTTAAGTCAGGTGCAGATAGAATTGAAATTGCCAAATAAGCACATATATTTTCTATTATCTATCCTCCTTTTCCTTAATTCCTCTTATAGAACTTCACACACCACAGTACCAGCAAGTTTAAAGCATACCCTTTTATGAACTGCCTTAAAAATTCAGAATTACCCAATCAGTTGGCAGGTATTAATTAATTCTAACACTTGACCAAAGGAGTTTAAAAACAGTGTTAACCTAACAAAACAGAAAACTTGTTTAACTCTGTCTTGAAAAGATTCTCGATTTTGGTTTTGAAATTTTACATGTAGCTTAATATTCATATACGTGCATATATATATATGAAAGTGATAGTTTACAGTGGGGTATGGATACTGGTTTGGGGTATGTATTTTTGAAACCAAACATGAATTATTCATTTCTTAACTTAGGCAAAGTAATAGGAAAAAATGGAAAACTGATTCAGGAGATTGTGGACAAGTCAGGAGTTGTAAGAGTGAGAATTGAGGCCGAAAATGAGAAAAATGTTCCACAAGAAGAGGTATGTTATAGTGCATGCGTTTCTGGTTTGTCTAAAGGTAGAAGTTTTTTGATTTGGCATGTTTGTTTTAGAGGCCTCTGTAATGTGCAGGTAATGTGAATGTCAAAATTCTGCCTGATAGAGTTAAGGTTACAGGTGTAGATAATGGTCTCTGTCCATTCTCTAATGCTGTGACTTTGGATTGGTCACTTTTACCCCTTGAAGTCTTACTTCCCGATCTTTAAAATGGGTAGTCATAATTTGTTTTTAATATTAAACCTACATTACTATGTCAAGCATTATGACAATGTAATGAAATAATATATGTGAAAGTGCTTTATTTGTAAAGCACTTTTCAAATGTTACTGTCGCTGATAGAGACAACATTGAGACTCTGAGTAGGTTTTCTGACTTCCATGCTTTGGCTTTTTGCTTTGGGAATTTGTTTGTGTGTGTGTTTATTCTCTGTGCTTTAATTTTTCATCTCACGTAACATCTCTTTCCTATGGTTCTCATCTTTAAATTTTATAACCCTCATTTTTATCTTCATACGTGTATGTTTTTGGGGAACAACTTCTAAAGTATTTGTATGGGTTTGGGGAGTTGAGGGTGTGCTTTTCTGTGCAAAACTACAATTGTTTAAAATACTATCCCCAAAAGGTGCCATACTTTTCACATATTCTCTAGCCTTTTCTTCTGTGAAAAGTTCTTTTAACTGAAGTGACATCTTCTGGAGTTTTTTTCCTGCATATTTAGTAATGATTTTACATTCTATGATTTTATATACCAAAGCTGTTTCTAATAGTTTACATTCTTAAGTCACAATATGATCATTGACACAGTGATGATGCTAAATTACTTCTTAAAAATTGGTCCTTTTTTTCTCTTTTGTGTTTTTGTGTTTTTTACCAAGGAAATTATTCCACCAAATTCCCTACCTTCCAGCAATTCAAGGGTTGGACCTAATCCCTCAGAAGAAAAGAAACATTTAGATATAAAGGAAAACAGTGCCCATTTTTCTCAACCTAACAGTACAAAAGTCCAGAGGGTAAGAAATATTTGTCCCTTTGAATTACACTAAATGTAATTTCTTCGACTCAGATGTCACAGTTGGTGTTTCGGGTGTTTTCTCTGGTTAGACCTGTAGGCTACTCATGTTCTATTTTCTTTCAAATCTGATTGCCAGTTTATGAGATATTACAAACCAAAATGATACATACCTTCCATTTATTCACAGTGACTAATTGTATGCTGTTAACATAAAATATGGGGTTGCAATTAATGGTTACATTTTTCTTTTGAGGGTGGACTTGGATGTTTTCATGCTGTATCTCTTGAAATTTTGCAGGTGTAGTAGTTGAAAATGTACCCTTTGTTAGATGCATTAGTTACTACTTAAAACCATATATTAGAAACTGGTTTTCAATATTTGAACTAACCTAAATATTTAGAAATGGGTTTAGAAGTCCTACAGTGAAAGTCCTGCGTTCAGGCTTCTGTGTATCATTTGTTATAGTTAATGACATCACTTGCATTCCTTATACTGCTTTAGGTGTTAGTGGTTTCATCAATTGTAGCAGGGGAATCCCAGAAACCTGAACTCAAGGCTTGGCAGGTAGGAAAACATTCCTTGAAAAATACATTTTAATTTTATATTTTAATGTTTATTCCCCTTGTTAAGAAAGACTACAAATGATCGTCAGGGTTGGGGGATGGTGGAAGAGTGTTTGTGGGTATGTGTGTCCATTGCTCTGCTTCTATATCCTTAATGTTGCTTATAAGACCCTTGAAGGTTATTCTCTGGTATCATCTCTCCCCATTCTTCTTCCTTCTACTCTATAGAAGCTTGAGCCATACTGAAGTATTTAGAGTTCTCTGAACATTATTACAGGCAGTCCCCAGATTACAAACGAGTTCCATTCCTAAGTCTTTCTTTAAGTCAAATCTGTATGTAAGTTGGAACAGTTAGGTACGGTTCATATCTAACGTCAGTTAGTCAGATATTTGTCTTAGTATATAGTGTACCTTTCTATGCATAAAAACATTAAAGAAACACTTCCAGGTATACTAAAACATCTTTAACATAATACAGTAGTAATTATAATAATGTTTTGATGCACGTTGCAAAGTAGCACCCGTTTGTTACTGTGAACCACTGTATGTACCTTGAATTTTTAATAGGCTTTGCGGGGGTTGGTTCATATAAAAGGCTTTACAGGAGTTGGTTCGTAACTACAGGTTGTACATAAGTCGGACGTTTGTAACCTGGTGACTGCCTGTATACTGTCTGTTGCTTTCTCTGCCTGGAACACTCTTTCTCCTCTTTGGGCAGCTACCTTGAACGTGCCACCTCTGCTTTGACCTTACTCCTTGTGTATTTGCCACAGGTGCCATTTCTCCTTACGTGCTCCCACGTGCTCACCCCTATCAGAGCATTTATTGCAAAGATGTTTACTTGTTGATCTCCCCTATCACCTTGTAAGTTCCTTGAGGGCAGGGCCTTGATTTTTATAATATATTACCTGGCCTGTGAGAACTTTTTATGGAAAAAAAGTTATAATTTATAAGAGATTAAAATTGCCATTTTCCAAAGAGAAAGTTGATCAGATATTCCTCTCTGTTGGGAAGCCCAGTTCACATCCCAGAAGAGGGAATAACTTTTTCCTGGTGTCCATATTGAAGACCACCATTCTACTTACCATTTTACTCTCACCTTTCTTCATTGTAATATTCAGGTCCATTAAGAGCGTGCTTAAATCACAGTGGCACTTGGGTACACCAACACTTTGGACGTGTTGCAAACGAAAATGTTTTTAAACGATTTGCTCCAAAGTCGCTCTAACTAAATCGGTGAAGTAGGGTTTTAAAGCTTATTTTGGTGCTATCTGACCCAGAGGGAAGCATGTAGCATTTCATCATAAGACATTTTGGGAAATAATATGGTTAAACTGCTTTGTAACAAAGTCAGTGGGGGAAAAAATTCAACAGCCAAAAATAATGCTTTTGAGAAAAGAGATCGGATCGACAGGCCTGATTATTTCTGTAGTTCATGTACTGTTTGATGCTGAACAATATTCCAAATGAAGCCCATGGCTTTTCAGTAGCACCTGGTTCTTCAGGTGGTTCTTGCTACCAGGAGGTGTAGTGCTTTACCTACCAGATGAAAGTTAGTCTGAAAGCAGTATTTTCCTAATTCTTCAGTTTTGTTCTCCATCAGCAGCCATGTTAATGCGAAGGAAAAAAGAAAAACCTGATCCAGCCCCACGTACCTTTTTAAAAATGCTGTAGACCGAATTCAAGCAGGCAAAAGCAGCCCAGCAGTAGCCACACCTGTCAAATGAAGGCTCTTTCTATAAAGAGTGATACTTTGCTCAAGGGACAACTTCTGGCTTCTCACACCTTTTAACTTCGTCCTGAAAATTATGTGTCCACATCAAAACCACCATCTCTTTTTTTTTAGTCACTTGTGAATATCAATAACCATGTGCGTTTCTTCAGTAGCAAAATGTTGAACTGTTCTCAACTTTGAACGTCTGTCATAATTGCCAGCTATTGTTTTACACATTTGTGGCTAGGCTTTCCTGTAACTTGTGACAAGAAATTTTTTTTTTCTGATTTATACGGATGGGCTGGAAGTACAAGTTTTTATTATACTTAAAAAAAATCTGTCCTTATATTGAAGTTGTGCATTAAGGGAAAATAGAACTTTCCTTATGATTCAGCCTTTTAAAATTTTCAGGGTAAGTTATTGGAGTATATAGGAAGGACTTGCTAAATTATATGCTCATGGAGGTGCCTAGATTTTTTTCCTACAGATTAATTCCTCAGTGCATTTTTATTTACCCTAGTGTTGTTTGTTTGTGTTTTGTTTGTACCCTGTTGACTTGATTAGCGAAATCAATGTTGTCTTTACTTTGTATCCTTAGTATCTAATTTTGAATTTTTTAAAAGAATTTGATCTAGATAAAATCTGTAGTAAATGGATTAGAGCATTTTTAAGTATTTGGTTTGTTTATGCATCTCATCTTAAAGCTTGTATAATTTTGAAGTAAATAATTGTGATTTTGTCAACATTTAATAGTAGTCTTTAAAACATAATAACCTGATGCATTTAAAAGGTTACTATATTGATCTGTCCTTATTCACAGTAGTTATGGAAAATATAGCAACTATTTTCGTTTTCATGTGTTGATTTATTTTTTTCAACAAACATTTGTATGCCTACTGTTTCCCATACCCAGTGCTAGGGATTTAGTTATTAATTCGCATCATTCAGACTAACCCATCATTAATTCTATAGGATCATTGTTGCAATTTCTTTTTCAGGGTATGGTACCATTTGTTTTTGTGGGAACAAAGGACAGCATCGCTAATGCCACTGTTCTTTTGGATTATCACCTGAACTATTTAAAGGTGAGAACAGAAAGAACTTTAACTTCTAATCCTTTTGCACTAAAATAGAAAGACTTTATAGTAAATCTTTCAGCAGTTAGGGTTCATTCTAGCATATATATATGTGTGTGTATATATATATAAAACAGTGAATTACTTACAAGAGATAATAGAGAAAATATTTGCTTTGTTCAGCTTATATTCCTTCTGAAAACGTAAAACAGTTTTCCATCATGGTAAATTTAAGGACCAGTATTCCAGTTCTCAATAAATTCCCTTATTTCCAGTTCTTCTTCTGTTAAGCCCTTGCACTCAATTTAGGTAATTTGTGGGTAGCCTTTTAATCCAGTTGATCCTTTCTAGCTTTTATGAGTGTTTCATGAAGTCCTCTGTGTAAATGTTTACCCTTCATATTTTTCTCGATACTCTGTTTACAGAATATAAACTATTTGTGTCTTTTTGTAAATGCTCATTTTAGTGTTTGTACAGTTATGCCTCCTCTAAATTGCAAACTAGAAGGCAGAAATGAGGAGGTGACAATGTGTAGTGAAAGATCCCTGGATTGGCAAGCCTGTGATTAGCATCTGGTCTCTCTTCCGCCTTGAACTAGGTTGTGAGACTTTAGGCAGGTCACTTTCCTAGACTAGATGCTTTTTAAAATTCCTTTTGGTCAGAATATTCTATAATTTAATGAAATGAAATTTGATCTATTTCACTTCTGTAATTTCTTCTTTGTATGTATCAAAACTGTAGTGTTGCTGGTATTACATAGTCTTTAAAAAGTAATCCAAGTTTCTGTTCTGCTATTTATGGTGCTAATTTAAGGTTTTTCTTTTGGTGATTTCTGAAAAGAAAGAGTAAAAAGTAAACGATTCCTACTTGTATGCCAGTAAGAGTGAAAGGAAGAAGAAATAACTGGGCATTTCATTAATTCTTATGGTTGTCAGTTAGTAAATAAAACCAGGACGGTTTCATTCAGCAAAATTTGCAGATAGGATACCCCTTTGGTTTGCTTATTTGTTTTTGCTTTAAAGTATATTTTATGTGTAACCTGTTGTATATGTTTGTGTGTGTGTGTCTTTCTTCACATTCTTAAATAATTTTGAAGACCCACAGAGTTAGGGTTGCATTGTATCAAAACCCTTGTTCCTCAGACTGATGTTCTTTCTTGGATCTTTTCATTTATTCCTCACAATTGAGTATATTTTTTGGTTGTCAGCAGTATCCTGTTGTCATTCTTTCCATCACCAGATCTTCCCTTGATTGGGCCTGGCATCTCTCACCAAAAGGTGACTCCTTTGCCCCAGTGGGATAACCTGAACTACCATTCTGTTTTGCAAGATATACCCATCCATGATCTTTAACTATACCTTTGGAGTAAGCCACTCAGCTGCAGTCTCTCCTGTGTAAAACAGAAATTGTGGATCAGCTCAGATGAAGCTTCCCTAGATCCTTACCTGACCTTTCTTTTCCAGAAGCTGCCACAACCAAGATTTGGGGAACTTAGCTTTACAGGGGCTCCTCCAGTCCTGTTCATATAGATAGTCCGCACAACAGCCTCTGCTTGACTGAGATACCCAGTACTACTGAAGTGAGGGATCTGTCCCTGTAGTCAGTAAATGAGGGATTTAGGATGGAAGGGAAGGACAAGGATTAGAACTGAGGTTCTATTTGGATTTGACAGAGCCTGACATATTGCAAGCATTGTGTGTGAGGGTTTGTCAGTGGAACCCAGCTGTATGTTTTGGTCAACTAAGCTTATAGTGTTTGTCATACTTACTCTAGCAGTTGTAGTCTTGAAGACAATTTCAGGGCATGATGTAAGACCTAGCTCTTTTGGTCAGCTTTTAAATTGCTTTTTCCCCCCTCATATAAGGAATATCTGCATTTTCATTTAATTGAAAATAATTGTTCCTACTTGTCTAATCACATCCAAAGACCAGCCATAGTATATGTTCTTTTAAAACAAAAGATAGCCCAAACTCAGTGCTTTGTAAATCAAGATATTAACTAGCAAATATATCTGAATTAAGATTATTTACAATGTGTGATTTTTAAGGTTAGCTGGTTAAACCTTAAATGTCATTGATCTGTATTGATACATTTTAGAGTTGTTTTATTTAATATCCTCTCATTAAGAAGTCCTAAAACAGTGTGTCTGTGCCTTAGCAGTAGAATAGTTGGATAATAGTGCCAAATGAAACAACTTTACATTGTATTCAGTATAATTTTAATGCCAAGTATTTTTGTTATAGTTCTAATTTGGGACATCAGTAATCTGTTATCTATAGTAATTTTCTTTTTAAGGAGACGTTCCATTTCCTGATAAATCTGTGTAACAGTGTTTACTGTAAGTTTAGAACTGAAACTGAAATATTTCCAGTATACTTTTTATCTGATGAAAAGGAGAAAGGTATTATTAAATGTCAAATTATTTTTACTGTTATCTTGTATATTTTAAATAGGAAGTAGACCAGTTGCGTTTGGAGAGATTACAAATTGATGAGCAGTTGCGACAGATTGGAGCTAGTTCTAGACCACCACCAAATCGTACAGATAAGGAAAAAGGCTATGTGACTGATGATGGTCAAGGAATGGGTCGAGGTAGTAGACCTTACAGAAATAGGGGGCACGGCAGACGCGGTCCTGGATATACTTCAGGTACAAACTAAGCATTTTACTCAGTTACTTTTTATCTGTTCCTAGACTTAATAGCTGCTAATCTCTAATATTCACGAGAACCCCATTATAACAATTTCTCACTATGTGGTTTCCAATTCACAGTGGGTCAAATCATGTTGCAGGAAGCACCTGTAGTAAATCCTGATACTGACACATGTAGTTTCTCAAGGCAGGTGTGAGTTCTATCCATGTTCTGATGGGGGATCAATCCACTTAAGCCCTTGTGTGTTGATGACCTTCTAAGGCCTCTCCTGATTTTACTACTGTATAGAGCACCCTTTTACATTTGTGTACCGTGGCTCATTTTTTGTCAGGCATGTGCTGGTCATACTTGCTGGATGGACTGTGTAAATCAGGGGCCTGCATCCTGTGGCTCCTAAGGTGATCCTGAGTAGCATGGCCAGAGTCAGCCCTAGGCACAGTCAAGACGTAGGCAGAGTTTCTCTTTGCCTTCCCAGCTCTTCTGTTAGTACCTTTTTCTTCTCTCTCAACACCTTTTCAATGAACCCTCTCCCCACCTGCCAGTGCTACTATCTTTCTTACTCAACTGTGTATCAACTATGTAACTTGCTAATGATGGTGTAAGGTGTAATCCATCTCACAAATATTTGCATTTCAAAAAGGAACTCTTTAAGATGGAAAAGCCTTCAAGATCCACAGGAGTGAAGCTATAATGGTGAAGCTATAATTGGTCATTAGCTCCAACAGAGGAAGAGAGGTAGTAGAGTTAATACTCTGGAGTGGGGGAGAAGACACCTACTCCTAAGGCCAACCTTGATCCTAACCTGTAATCCCTCTCCCAACAGTCTACTCTTTTTGCTGGTGAATTCCTACCTCACCGTGGAGCTCTTGTCCACACCCCCATCCCCTAAGTCATCAGCCCTCTCAGGAATAATGAGTCAATTTTCAGTAATGCCTTTATTCATGATCAGTCATTCCCCTTTGAGTGGGAGGGAAGGTTGTGGACCAAGCTCAGGCAAGTGTATTCTCCTTCAACTAGGTCCAGTCCCTGGTTCCACAAGAGACCCTTCCCTGAGACTGTTGCCATGGTGGCCTTAATTTGCCCCTCTCCCAGAATTGGCCAAGAAGTGTGCATTCCCTCTGCCCATGGGCAAACCCTGTTAAAAGGAGCTCTCTTTATTGAGGTTTTGTTGATCAAGGTATTGCATTTAACTGTTGTAGACAACTTTTCCTCCAGAGAGCACAGATGTTTAAAGGAGCACAGCTGTTTAATGATGTGACACACTCAGGTTTGAACTTAGGTGGCTAATAAGGTGCCTTTTATTTTTTAAATGAGAACCAAAAATGTTTGTAACCAAAATGGTGTCAAATATCGTGAAGCCCTTATTTTAAATTTAAAGTAATTTATTTTACAAAATGGAAGGTAGTAATAATACTCTTCGGTTGGTTTATAAGTTGGGAAAAGTATTGGATTACCCCTGAAACGTCTCTGGAAGCTTCTTTAAACAAATTTTTTTTTAAGTCGGACAATGGTATATAACTTTTAACTCTCGATAGGAACTAATTCTGAAGCATCAAATGCTTCTGAAACAGAATCTGACCACAGAGACGAACTCAGTGATTGGTCATTAGCTCCAACAGAGGAAGAGAGGGAGAACTTCCTGCGCAGAGGAGACGGACGACGGCGTGGAGGCGGAGGAAGAGGACAGGGAGGAAGAGGGCGCGGAGGAGGCTTCAAAGGTACAAAGGTTTTCATTGGTTAAGAGATAAAGGTGAATGTTAACAACTGTCTGAAGTTCCATGGTAGCCTGCTAAGTTATTAAACATGATGTAACTGGAATCACTAGGCTGTTGATCACGTTTTCAATTATTTGGCCTAAATAGAGAATGTGCATTTCAGAATCAGTAACTGTGGAACCTTTTTAAAATGTTCCCATAGGAAATGATGATCACTCCCGAACAGATAATCGTCCACGCAACCCGAGAGAGGCTAAAGGAAGAACAGCAGATGGATCCCTTCAGGTAAACCTGTGGGCCTCTTCTCATCTAAATTGTTTGAATATAGTAGTTTGAAATTTGTGACTTTATTTTTAAACACATTGAAAGATTACACTTTTGGTGTATCGGAACTATTTTCCCCTCAACATTAGAATTGTGGGCGATCTTAGTCCTTCTTGACAAGTATACAGATAAGAGGATTTTTCTAGAGAATATGTGGCCTAAGTTTTTGTGAAGACTTTGACAGCCACATTGTGACTTTAAGATCAGTACCACATTGGTGGTCTCCCCAGTTCCCCAAGAAAAGGAATATCCTAGAGTGTACTAAGAGAGCTGAGTAAGCCCTGTGGGTCCTTTCTCTCCTTAGTTGCCCTCTTTGAGTGGAAATTAAAGAAAAGAAGGTGTCCCTCTCATAACTAGCAATCATGACAGGGCTGATAATGCTCACCTGGTACATGTTGAATCGGTCGACTGCGTATTGATGGTCAGGATCTGTTCCGAGTAAGAGGTTCGAACCAGTTCATTCCAGTTCAAACCTGTGCTGAGAATTTGCATTTCCACCCCAGATGCACTGAATCAGAAGATCTCATTACATTTTAACAAGATCCCCAGGTGATTCTTATGTACACACCGTCATTTCCTATGGCAGCATGTATACATAAGAATCACCTGGGGATCTTGTTAAACTATAGATTCTGATTCAGTATATCAGGGGGTGGAAATGCAAATTCTCAGCTGAGGTTCAAACCGGACTGAACCGGTTTGAATCCCTGGTTCTGAGGCTCCAGTCTCAGTTGGTCATCACCTGCACTGACTCTATTGTTACATCGTTTTAAAGTTACCCTGAGCACTTTAGGCACCTTTGCTAAGTGCTTTATGTGTTTTATTTAATCTTACAGTAGCCCACTGAGGTAAGTTGCTTTATTATTCTGTTCAATAGGTGAGTAAACTGAAGCTTAGACAGGTTCAGTCCTTTGCCCAGGGTTACATGGCTGGCTGGCACATGGTAGAGTGGTATTTGATTCCCAGAACCCAGGCTCTCTTACTGTTCTTCTTTAACTTTTAATTCTTAATCCAAGTATTTAGGGTTCCCTTCCTTACTGTGGATTGGTTTGGGACCAACACCCAAGATTAGTGACTGATACTTTAAGAGCAGAAACTTTTTATAGTGGAATATTCATAGAATTAATAGCAATTCTGAGTAGGTGTTAACTATTGACAGGTTCTTAAGGACCAGCATAGAAAAGACCTTGGACCTAGATAAAAAGATTGGCGAATTAATGTACGTATATATGTTTTACAAAGATTTAAGATATTTATGTATCAGTTTTGTAATTCCCCATTTTAAATGACGTGTTTGATTAACTGGACAATCTGATCACATTGGTGAAAAGGATATGTATTTACAATTATATTTATAATTAAAATGGAATACTGAATAAAGTTTGTGTTTTCTGTATGAGGATAGATACAAATCAAAACACTGAACGCTTGACAACGAAACATTTAAAACACACACCCAGACCCAACAGTTAAACATACTTTGAAATCATAGTGAAACATTTTGGGATATATTTAATGTTTGTACTTGAAACAGATCAGTATTTGTAGTTGTTTTAGGCCCCATTGGTCAGTATTATCTTCCTTTTGTGCAGCATCTATAACTCTGTTAAGTGTTAAAGTGTTTGGTGCTGGCACTTAAAATATTTTATAGATCTTAGAATATTATTGTTTAAATTGCATCTGTCCACTCTCCCAGGATTCCAGTCCTTATACAATTTTCATTAAGTTTCCCCTATACCGTTCTTATTCTTAAAACAAAGTTAATAATGTTTGATCATCTGAATTGCCTTACTGAAATACAAGTTATTATAAACCAACTCTCATTTTTCTACTGTAAAATGCTGAGAGCTCTTGGTATGGAGAAACTCAACCATACCTATCTATGATAGACTGAAAGGTATAGTAAATGAAGGGCTCGTTAAAAAGTGAGTTGGCTGAGTTCTTCTCGCAGAATCAGAATAGGAAGACTATTTTGTTCACTCTCCTCCTGGGTTTCACAATCTTTGGAGAATAACGTATTCTTTTTGAACTCTAATGTTATAGGCATGTGTATCTTCTGGTAATCAGTAGTAAGAATTCATTTTAACTGTTTGTTTCTTACTGTTTTATTCTGCTTAGAAGAAGACACAGTAGGATTGTGAGTTTTTAATCTAACTTTGGATGCAGTGAGATGACCAATGTGTTCCAGTAAAGAAGAAGAATGTTTTAAAATCATAAGCCAAATAAAGATCCTACCTTAACTTAATTTCTTGCACTTCTTCTCTTCCCACCTCCGTTCTCCCTTTTAACCTGTGGAATTTACACTTCGGGCTTAAGTTTCTTGTCAGGCCAATTACAGATTAAAATAGGATATAGTCTATATATATAACACATATAACTTGTTTTAGATCAGAGTTGACTGCAATAATGAAAGGAGTGTCCACACTAAAACATTACAGAATACCTCCAGTGAAGGTAATCGGCTGCGCACGGGTAAAGATCGTAACCAGAAGAAAGAAAAGCCAGACAGCGTGGATGGTCAGCAACCACTCGTGAATGGAGTACCCTAAACTGCATAATTCTGAAGTTATATTTCCTATACTATTTCCGTACTTCTTATTCCATGTTAGAAAACTTTGTTAGGCCAAAGACAACTAGTAGGCAGGATGGCGCAGGGCATGACATGAACACAAATTCTGTTGAGACTTTTTATTTTTTTGTTATTGGCCATGAGCAACAATTTTCAGATTTGCACAAAAAATATATTGAATTTTGAAATATTGCTTTGAAGTATACTTAGCACTTCAGGACAAGATTTTAGTTAGTTTTTTTTTTTTTTTTTAAGTACTGAGCAGTGATATTCTTTCTTAATTTGGACCATTTTCCTGCAATGACTGATAACTTACCAATACATTTCAGTTTTTCTGAATAAAAAGCATTTATGGTAATCGTACTGGACTTCTGTTTTCAATCTCATATAGAAGTCTCCATGAAATGCTATGTCATTTCATGTCCTGTGTCAGTTTATGTCCTGGTCCACTTTTCCAGTATTTTAGTGGACCCTGAAATGTGTGTGATGTGACATTTGTCATTTTCATTAGCAAAAAAAAGTTGTATGATCTGTGCCTTTTTTATATCTTGGCAGGTAGGAACATTATATTTGGATGCAGAGTTCAGGGAAGATAAGTTGGAAACACTAAATGTTAAAGATGTAGCAAAACCCTGTCAAACATTAGTACTTTATAGAAGAATGCATGCTTTCCATATTTTTTTCCTTACATAAACATCAGGTTAGGCAGTATAAAGAATAGGACTTGTTTTTGTTTTTGTTTTGTTGCACTGAAGTTTGACAAATAGTGTTATTGAAGGGATGTGTAATTTTTCTGTATAGACAGGAGAAGAAATAACTCTCTTTTCATTTGCGAGAGGTGAAACTGTTTTCAGGTAGGTCGACTGTTCAGAGGATCATGCCTGCTCTTTGGCCTGATGACCAATTTTAACGTAGAGACTTTTTTATTTTATCCTCCCCAGGTTTTGTGAATTTTTTATATTTTAATTTGAAGCTTGTTTCGGGGAGATAGGAAGGTAATTTCCATGTGTGTATAATAACCCTGTGAAGTACAGGTACTTTGTCTAAGAAACATTGGAAGCAGGTTAAATGTTTTGTAAAGTTTGAAATATAACGTCTAATGTATAAGCAGAATTGGAAAGCAGACTAGGATTGATTAACAAATAATCCTTTTTTTTATTATTTTGGGGGTCTTTTTTTTTGACGTGTTGGGTTTCAGTTTTGTTTTTGATTTTTTTTAATGAATGAAATTTACTGAGGAAAAAATATGTGAAGGACCTTCACTCTAAGATGTTATATTTTTCTTAAAAAATAACTCCGAGTAGGGGTACCACTGAATCTGTACAGAGCCGTACAAACTTAAGTTCTGCCTCTGATGTATTTTGTGAGTTTGTTTTTTTGAATTTTCATTTTACAGTTACTTTTCCTTGCGTACAAATAAGCATATAAAAATGGCAACAAACTGCACATGATTTAACGAATATTAAAAAGTCTTTTAAAAGTATTGCCAAACATTAATGTTCATTTCTAGTTATTTATTTTGGGAATGTATAGATTTTGAAAACAAATTGGTACCTTGCACACATCACCTGTAAGCTGTTTGGTTTAAAATACTGTAGATAATTAACCAAGGTAGAATGACCTTGTAATGTAACTGCTCTTGGGCAATATTCTCTGTACATATTAGCTACAACAGATTGGATTTTATGTTGACATTTGTTTGGTTATAGTGCAATATATTTTGTATGCAAGCAGTTTCAATAAAGTTTGATCTTCCTCTGCTAAATTGATGTTGATGCAATCCTTACAAATGATTGCTTTTAAAATTTTAAGATAGGAAAAGAAATCTAGAAAGTGTTCTGTTACAAAATTTAACTGTTACTATTGGAAGTTTCACATGTCATAGGAAGTTAGCTGTTCTCTACCAGTTTTCAAGAACTTAATATTGTTTAAGAAAGTGAAAAAAAAATCAACAAAATGGCACAAGAACATACTGTGCCATCATAATATGCACTAAGTCTATTTTTTACAAAGGCTGAATTCAGCAAGGCGCTAACTTGCTTAAATGTGAATTACTAATTTCTGAAACTAATTTGATTCACATGTTTTCAAATGGCATTGGAGTTGATTCATACTACAATATTTGTGTGCTAAATGTGTATGTTTTTCAGTTCAAAGTCATGATGTTTTTAAAATCTTATTAAAGTTTAAAAAATCTAAAGATTGTTTATCTAGATGTAAATTTTTATTAAAAAGTTGCACTTATGAAAACGCAAAAAATTAGTCTGACAGATGTTTGCTCCTGGTTTTGAATCTTTATGTCAAAAATTAACATTATGTGGGGTTAAGTTATTTATCGTGCAAAGCATATATGCCTTGCAAATAATGTTTTATGTGCCTTTTAAAAGGCAAAAAGAAAGATATTTGAAAATAAATTCTCCATATTCCCAGTTATAAGGTTTCAAAACATTGATGACGTAGGGTGTCACTTGTTAGGTGCTGTTGAGTCAGTTCCGACTCATAGCGACCCTGTGTATAACAGCACGGAAACACTGCACCATCCTCACAATTGTTTGCTATGTTTGACCTCATTGTTGCAGCCACTGTGTCAAGTCCATCTCGTTGAGAGTCTTCCTCTTTTTCACTGATAC